CTGAAGCAAAGAGAAAGTAGACAACAGAAGCGGGAAGAAAGATTTTTGAAGCTTTGAGTTTCTAACTGAAAACCTTCTGCTTTAGTCTGTCTGTTATTACTGTTTGAAAGAAATGTGTCTTTATGCTAATTTAGGTTCAAATTAGCTTAATATGCATAACTGCATGATAACAATCCAAGTAGATAAATGTTATGTTGTTGGTTAAATCTCGGATTTAACAAGAAAATAAAAAGTTTATGAATAAACTTTTTCATTTCAAGGTTTTAGGGTTGCGGTTTGTTGTGGAGTTGGACAAAGTTTATCCCATCAATCAATCACTAGTCATCAATGTTAATAAATATCATGGAAAAGAAAATGGACGCATAATAAAGCCTCCTTTACTTTCTGCCTGTCTACTCGTGTATCCAAGCCTAGAACCAGTCCTGCTCTGCAGAGTCACATGAACCAGATAGAAACTGGTTTCTTACTTTCTGTCTGAGAGTCCAAGTTCAGTACTGAAGAATGGAGGTTCTGGTTTGGACCAGTCACTCCACATGGAGGGACAGCTGGATCCTGGAGGTTCTGCTCTCCCTCTGTGGTTCTGACCTCTGAAACACAAACATGTTGTTATGCAGAGCAATCAGTGAGAAACTGAGATAAAAACCAGAGAAGAAGCTCTGAACACAAACTGCTGCAGGTCTGAAGCTCCAGAGTGAAACATTCAGACTGATCTGTTGGTCAAACTGAACCTTCAAGTTTATTTGTTCATTTCAGCAGCAAGGCAGTTCAAGGCGCTTTGCATAATAAAGACAGAAAGCTATAAAGAAAACACCAGGCATTCAACAACTGAACAGACATTATATTTGATGAGAGCATCACCAAAATCATAACCATCAAATATGTTGGTCACTGTTTCATTTATAATCAAAGCCACTAAAATCAGATGGTTTTTAGTCTGGAGTTAAAGAAATTCAGTGTTTCGACTCTTGTACAGTTTTCTGGAAGTTTATACAATTTAAACTTTGACAAACTCACCTGGTTCATCTTCTTGTAAAAATCAGTTTAGTGACGTGATTGAGACGAGAGACTAGTGATGGAAAAGTTACTACAGAGTAAAGAGTCAACTAGTTGCTGCAACATCCAGTTCAGAGACAATCTGAGTCGTTGCTCCTCACATTGTTGCTGGTTTTTGTTTTCATGCAACATTTTCATCATTTTTCATTCAAACTGATTTACTGACCAACATCCTTCATGTTTAACTTTAAATTAATATGGAAGAAATTTAAGTTACTTTTGATCAAAGATCAACCAGTTAATATCATCTATATTTTATCTCTATAGATCCACATGAACCAGTTAGAAACTGGTTTCTTACTTTCTGTCTGAGGGTCCAGGTTCAGTTCTGAACTCTGGAGGTTCATCTTTGGACCGGTCACTCCTCACAGACGGACTGATGGGTTCTGTAGATTCTGCTCTGTCCTTCTTTAGATCCAGATCTTCCATCTTCTGGACTTCAGTCAGCCTAAGAAAGAAACCAGAACCAGTCAGTCCAGTAGTCCAGGTCCAGTAAGTGTCCAGTGAAGCAGAAAGCTGGTTCCCATCAGGGGTTCAGAGGATCAGAGGAACCTGATTCCAGCTCAACCTCAGAAACTAAACGTCTCTTAATGGTTTTGTCTGGAATTGTGACATCAAACTTCTCAGTCTTTCAAACAGAAACAAGAAGCTTCTGCCAAAAACAAGACAAGAAAACATGAACCAGTAGAGATCACTGAGTACTGGACTGGTTCCAGTCTGACTACAGAACAGGGATTTCAACAACTTCTCATTGGAAAGGACAGAAGTCACCTGTGTTCTACCACAAGGTTTAATCCTATAACATCTGGGTTCCTGCAAGGTCAGGCTACAAAAAAGTAATCAGATTACTTACCATGACTAAATGATACACAGCTCTACATTATGATGTCACCAGGTGACCTTTGGCCCCATCCAAACACTGAATAGATGCTTAGA